AAAATACATATTGAATTGTCATAGATCTTTGTGATGGAGAAAGTACAGCACGGGCGTTACCGTGTCCGTGTTCGACCGACGTAAACAACTGTGATTTTCGTAGCTAATACAAACCGGGTTTTCATCTTTGTCATCCGCGTGCCGCATTAGACAACTTTTAAAAAAGCAAAAGACGACGCGGTCTAATGACAAAGCATAATCACATTCCTTTTCTCACGAGCACGTCTACAAGGTTAGTAAACGAAAAACCTAGAAATGATGCGATGCGAGCCCATGCGGCGAGGCGCGCATGAAAAATAACGCTTTGACAATGTTATCTTGAAGGCCTTTTGTCTCAACTATGTCTTGCTACTATTACTTACCTCATTCTCCCATACCCTGTCATCTTGCCGCTCAACCACTGACCTTCATATCTCTCGGCTGGATTCTCTGGGTTCACAGGAAACACCATGACACCATCCCTACAGAACAATAACAAGCATTAGATGTGCTCTAAATGTTTCCTTTCTTCGGAATGCCGTCGTAACCGGAAATGGGAGATTTTAAGAAGGCTTAAATGTCGATTAGTATTTTCTGTTTTACCCTCGGAATGCACTCGTAACCGGAAATGGGAGATTTTAAGCAGGCCTAAATGTCGATTAGTATCTTTTGTCTCACCATCGGAATGCCGTCGTAACCGGAAATGAAAGATTTGGGTCTAAATGTCGATTAGTAACTATGTTTCCATTTTATTAACTCACCCATCGTGTAATCCCTGGTTGAACTCCCCAGTGTAACGCCTACCATTAGTCCACACCATCTCACCTCTAGACAAAAACAAAGAAATGCTTTTAATATCTTAGATCTTCGCTTGTATGCTTTTATCGCACCTATGCTTGCCTGTAATGAGAAGAGAAAGTAAAGAGGAAAGACGATGAAGGTAAAGGAGGAAAGGAAAGGGAAATAAAGGAAAGGAATGGAAAGGAAAGCAAAGGAATAAAGGGAGAAGTAAAGAAAGGGAGAACGGGAAGGGATGGGACAACCGTGCCTTCCCACATTCWTTGACAACCCATCCAAACACTAACAGGCTTGGCCTTCTGACACGCCCAAGGTTTTTTCCAATAGACTACGAATTTATTGAATTAACACTACAATGACTACGAAAACATTGCGCCACATAGCCTGAAAAAAAAATTTACTTCAAATAGTGCAGATAGTGCAAGGGATAAGTTGTAGATCGGGTTACGAGGCCGGCTATCTTACCAGCACATCACCCATAACACCAACACAGAATCAACTCACCTTCCATGCGGTTTACCATTCAGCCACATTCCAGTGTAAGTGGCTGTCTTGTAGCGTGTATCCTGTGTGAATGTGTAGGTGGCTTCACGTGCTGTTGCTGCAGGTAGGTTACCAGTTGTCATGTTCACAGCCTCTTTACCCAGTCTACGAGAAAACATTAAACTATTACATGGGGGTATACCTTTMCTTTGGTAGATGAAAATTTAACTAAATAGTTGTTTACATGCTAATGAAGTCCTTCGTCTCYGTAGTAGTTTCACGCGCGCTCAATAGAGCACAGGCAGATGGCAGGAACGATAAAATCGTTTTACATGAGAAAGAATTCAATTCTAGAGAGCAAAGGGATTTTATAGTTCTGGCATCTAACCACAGGAAGTCCAAGTTGTATTATGGGCGCCGGCACGTGATGGTCCAAACCYTCTACAGAAACAAGTCGACCTCTCTCTATTTCGACCCTCGCTTTTTTTACTTGCTTTGTTCGTGATTCGGTGAATCTCAGAGAGGTCAGCTTGGAGCAAGTCTAGTAGTAGCGGTAGTGTTGTCGTTGGTGGTAGTGGTGGTATTCGTGTTAGGTTTGGTAGTATTAGCGATAGTGTTCATGCTGCTAGTCTTTTGGGTGTTACTGTGAGAGTGTTGGTGGTAGAAGTAACGGAGATGTTGGGATTRTGATATGTGTATCAAAGTAGTGCAAGGCCGTAGCAAACACTTGGACAGTGTAATAGATAATTTTTACGAGGGGAAAAATGGTTCTKAAGGTAAAACGTGGTGCGGATAAAACCAGATTAACCGTACTAGTGGCTACGATGACAATAAACCATACCTGTATGTACTGGTCTTTGAGATAACCCTGGCTACTGCTTGATTGATAGTCAGTAGCCAGTCAGCCTACAAAATAAAAGATTTCGTTTTTMATTTCTAGTATTACATCAATCAACAGTAAACGTTAGTACAGTGGAACCTGGTTAATACGGCCACCAA